GCCCAGCCCCGGCCCAGCCCCGGCCCAGCCCCGGCCCAGCCACAGCACTCCACTGTTGCTCACGCCCCGGGCCCTCTGCCTTCGCTCTGAGCTAATCGGCCCTGCGTCGAGGTGTGCAGGGGAGCCTCTGGCTGTGGTTGCAATGCCGCACGGCCCAGCCCGCTGTCCCGAGTCCACCCTGGGGACGAGGGTGTGTTGCCCTTCGGGATGTCACGCTCCCCATGGGCTACAGCCCGGCTGTCGCTGGATGCAGGTGGGGATGCTCTGGCTCCTGCCTGGGCACGGACGCTCAGCTCCAGTGCGACCTTGGTGTATCCAGAGCCGGTATGGAGAAGCCCAGGGACGGGGAGGGCCAGGAGAAGCTGGGAGCATGTTGCTGGAGCTCAGTGGCGGTAGGGGCAGTGTGCTGTGCCCTGGCGGCCGCTGGCCCTTATGCTTGGGCTCCTGCCTCGCCACCCGCTGATGAGGGGCAAGGGTCACCCTCAAGGGACAGCTCCCTGGCACGGGGCCTTGTTTCTGCTGCTCTGCCTTGAGGTCCGACCCACTGGGTTTCACTTGTCACAGACTTCAAACCAAGTCCACGTTGACACACTGCTGCTTGGCCTGCTCCCGTCTCGAGAGGCCTGCTGTGTCGTCGGCTCCGGCTCTCCACGTCTTTGCTTCTCCTTGTCACTTCTCAGTCCCTTCGCTAGAGACTGCCTGCCCGTGAGGCATCCCAGAGAGCCGCGAGGACAGAGTGGGCCGGCCTGAGCGTGGCAGCTAAGTGCTGGACTCCAGGAGCTGGGTCCCAAGTAGCAGGCCACAGTTCGAATCCTGGCCCCGCTGGTTGGAAACACAGTGAACACGAGTATACCCAGTCCTGACAGGTGGAAGTGGGGGACAGAGTGTGGTGGCATGACCACACCCATCAGGGACTTCCCTCCTCTCCCTCCGTGTCCTCTGGCCTAAGTGAGTGGAGGATGGGAGACAGGGAGGAGGAGTGTCCGCACCTCTGCCCGCCCCGCGTGCCCATCTGCGCCAGGCGGCCCCACGGAGGGAAGGCTCATCCTCATCGTCCTTGTGGCCCTTGCACGTCATCGGGCTCAACGTCCTGAGTTTGCAGAAGCCAGTGATTGCATAGTGACACCGCACGTGGTAGAAGTGGCTCGGCTGCCATGTGGGGACGGCCAGGGTGGCTCTGACCTAGAGGGCCTGCCTAAGCCAAGGCCGGCGGCCCACTCCCGGTGAGCCATGTCAGTAGCCTGGACCTGAACCTCTAGGACCGGCAGTAGGCCTTCTCATGGCGGTGTCTTCACATGGCACAGAGCCTCCCCCGTCAGGGCAGTGCCCGGTGCAGACGCCGTCTCATGGTCTCCGAGCTGTCCTCGGCCTGAGGGGTTGTGGGAAGCGACAAAGGAGTGCAGCTGCCCCGTGGGCTGCCCTGTCCTGGGCTGGGGAACGGCGAGAGCCCTGCTCGGAGGAGCCGCCAGAACACCGGTGCCTTGCCAAGCGGCCACGGGCGTGCAGCAGCCACGGGCATGCAGTGGCCTCTGGTGTCTTCGCTGTGGCTGTGTTTATGTCCCCATTGCAGTCTGGCTTCGAGGTGACACTGTGTTTTAGAGCTTTTTGCTTTAGGGTGTGTGTGCTCACCAGAGAGAGGCAAGAAGCGAGAAGTCACCCCCGGAGGATGGCCACACACAATCCCTTCTCCATTCTCTCCTCTGGATTGCGCCCACATGCATGCACACGTGCCTGGTGTGAGTTTGAAGCTGCTGGGTCCAGGAGTCGAACCATGGTCGACTATGTGGGAGTCTAGCTACATAACCATTATAGCATCTGCTGGTCCTAGAGGTGACACATTCTTGACTGAGGTGTCCCCCATAGGTCGACATTTCTGGACGGCAATGTGTGTACTTCAGGGCCGCCTGGAAGCTTCTGGCTCCGCTGTGCCCAAAGAGGCACCGGGACAGCACCGAGGTCCCAGCCAGACCTCTGAGAGGGGCTGGTCACCCTGGACGGTGCCTCCCACGTGCCCGCAGTACCCCCTGGAGGGGCGTGGGCAGCAGTGGGGAGCCTGAGTGGCTGGCCGGTCGCAGTGGCACCTTCCTTGGGCTGCCAGCAGCCTGCCCGTGCAGTGGCCTCGTTGGAGCCTGCGGACAGCTCCTGGCACATGGCGTCAGGATCCACTTCAGGCAGCCAGCCAGGCAGGGCTCGCAGAGCCCCTCAATGGTAGACACGTGTGTGATCAGAGCCCCTGCAGCCCGTGTGTGGGCTACAGCTCGTGTGGGAGGCAAGGAGCCACCCAGGTGGAGTGGCCTGCCGGGTCCTCAGCGCAGGCTCACTGCCATGGACTGGAGCCTGTTCCACGCTCCGCCTCATGCAGAGATGGCGGGGCTGCCCCAGACCACAGAGATGTGTTCCCCTGGTGCCCAAGAGTGACCTCCTGGGCACATTTGGGCCGGGCCATTCTGGCTTCTCCTAAGGTGGAACCTGCCCTCCACTCGGTGAAGTAATTGTGACACCTTCAGACACGCTGGTGGCACTGATCACCATCGCTCACGTCGGGGCAGTGCCGGCGGTGAGGTGGCTGTGTCACGGGTGTGGCCAGACCCCAGGACTCTGTGGCCCTTGGCCGTGGCGCCGGTTCTGCAGCAGTTGCTGCCACGTGGCACCCAGTGGGGAGCAGAGCCCAGGCGCCCCTGTGCCAGGCAGCCAGTCCTCTCGTGCCAGCACCCAGGAGCCGTGTGCGGGCGTGTGCTGCCAGGCAAGGAGAGGGAGGCCTGGGGGCATTCCTCGCGTTTCCCAGCCAGCAGGACAGACCACGCTCCCGCGCCTCTCGTGTGTGCCCTGGGCACCAGGGCTGTGGCTGGGCTCGGTGGGGACAAGTCCTCAGGTTCACTCGCCGGAAGCTCTGGCTTACCCTTTTCTCCTGAAGGGACCAAGACCAGTGAGTCTGGACGTCCCAGGCTAGACGCACGTCTGTGGGAGGCAGCCTCAGCCGGA